GAAGTGGGGTGACGTGGAGTCCACATAAACATATTTTACGCGTTGGTATACCACGTCAGCTGTTTTCCGTTAATTAACATGCCACATAAGCCAAAATTTAACGGAGGGACCAAAAAGGGGCCGGATTTGTGAACAGTAAGAATCAAAAAGGGGATTTTTTTGGTATATGGACTAAAAAGGGGCTTTTTCCTATAGTAGAGGGACCAAAAAGGGTATTTAACCGAAAAAAAATTTAATGCATCGTTTAAGGTAGAAATTGACATCGAACCGGATACACTCATTTATAGAAACTATAATAACTACTTAAAGGGTACAATTAATATATTTTTTATATTAATTCTTTTATTAAAAATAAAATTGACATTTATTTAAGGTTAAACTCTTAATTTAATCCCTTCAGTATTGTATGGACCTCGATTTGATCCCTAAACTAAAAAAATCCTTGATTTAATCCTCACTATTTACCAATTTGATCTTAAGTTGGTCCTCCTATTAAAAAATAGTTGACGTATGCATTACTTAATGGTAAAAAACCGTTATTTAATAGCTACATGTTATGTTAGTAATGAAATATATCATTTATTTTTGTACAGAAGGATCAATTTAGGATTAAATTAATAAACAGTAAAAATCAAATTAAAGATTTTTTTAGTTTAATGGCCAAATCAGAGATCCATACAATAGTTGAGGGACCAAATTGAAAGTTTAACCTTTATTTAATAAAACTATCTAATTAAAATAATTTCTATGATATTAGTGATAGAATTAAAGTGAAGTTTATACTTAAATTAAGAAAAAGGTTTTTTTTTTTTCTTTTTTATAATTGAAATTAAAATTTAAAAGACAAGGGAGTATTTAGGCTTGTTAACTAATCGATTTAAATCAAATCATATATTTAGGTACTTGTGCTTACACTCGTTTTAAAATTTTGGGTTCAAGCATTTATCAAATTTAAAATGGTTGAGCTCATGGTTAAGCTTGCAAGTATATTAGCAAGTTTGAGTAATGTTATCGATACTATACCGTATTGGTATGTATGATTGGTGCGTATTTATTTTTTTATTAAACCAAAATGGTACAAAATTCAATTTCGTTTTTAGTCAAATTTTGTTCGTTTTGGTCAAATTTCAACATACCGACCAATATTTTGACGTATCGACCAGTACACCAAAAATTGTTGGGTACAAATCAATTCAAATTTTAAAAGGATAAATTCCATTTTTGGTCCTCAACTTTAATATTTTACATAATTTTCATCATTTAACTTTTTTTATCTATTTTTTTAGTCCATCAATTATGAAAAATGTATTTTTTTAGTCATTTTATTCGTTACTCCATTGAATTTGTCTAAATATACACATTTTTAGTCCTTTAACTTAAAGTGGAGGGAAGAAAAATATGCATATATTAGAAGTTTAGGGACTAAAAATATATATTTAAGTTTAGGGACTAAAAATATATATTTTTAATCCCTTTTAACAATTTTAGATTTAAACTTCTAGTTCTTAGTACTCAAATTTAAGCTTTAATATTTAATTTATAAAAATATATATTTATAGCGATAAATCGGGAACGGTATGTAAAAAATTTCGAATTTCGATATTCGATACATATCGTTCTAGTAGTAAAACTAATACCATACCGATATGGTATTAACAACTTTGAGTTTGAGCTTATTCACGGGCTTGAGCTAACAATTACTTTAAATAGGAATTGATTTTTTTTTTTGTAATTCTAAGATTTTTTATTAATAAATAATTATTTAACCATAAAATTTTCTATATTTTCTTAGAAATATTTTAGTATCAAAAGTTTAAACAAAAGCATTATATTAAGTCCAACAATAAGAAATAATAATAAAAAAAAAACCGGAAACACCTAAATATTTTTTATTAGGTTAAATATCAATTTTGGACCTTTAACTTTAGGGTTTTGCATAATTTTCATCCTTTAACATTTTTATACACTTTTTTAGTGCCTCAACCATGGGAAATGTAATTTTTTAGTTCTTTTGTTAGTTAATCCATTAAATATGTCTAAATATACATATTTTTTGTCCCTCAACTTATAATATATGCATATTTTTAGTCCTTGTTTGTCCCTCAACTTTAAGTTCAAGGAATAAAATATGCATATTTAAACAGACTAAACAGACTAATTAATGGAAGGATTAACAAGTATATTTTTCATAATTAAGGGATAAAAAAAGTACATAAAAAAGTTAAAAAATGAAAATTGTGTAAAATTCTAAAGTTGAGGGACTAAAATTGATATTTAATCTTTTTATTAATAATTATAACTCAAAATATGTAATTTATTTTAGTTACATTTTTGACTTTGTTAACTTTACAAGTTATTATATATTAAATTTAATAAATAAATATATAATATAGTTTTTTACTTCTTAATCAAATATTTGCAAGTAACTACTGACTAATCATGAAAACTCAAGTTCAAACTTTTTTTTTTTTTATCAAATTTGACATTAAGTTTGAATTTAACTCATTTATCAAATAAGTTTAAGTTAAATTTAACTTGAATAACTTACAAATTATTCATAAACTACTTTATTCACTGATAGTTGGAGGAGCATCTAATATGAGAAAAACCTACCAATAGCCGCTAGCTTGGGACTGCACCTTTACCATTGTTGAAATGGGCTATCATGGGCCTTTTGTAATGGGGCTAGCCCGGCCTTGTGGTTTGAGATTAGCCCTGCAAAATTAGACCTCAATTTGAAAATTTGAACCAAACCATATGTGATGGCTTAGGTCATGCATCTAATGTATTAATTTAAAATGTGATATGATTCAAATTGATTACTCAACTAGATTGGGTCAAAACTTGGGTTGGGTGAATTTGAAGTTACTCGATTAAAATTAATTAATTTTTTAAATAAGGTTTTGAGTAATTATATTTTTAATTTTAATTTTAAAATATAAAATAAAATCAAATATATAAAATGGTTGTTATTTATTTAGATTTTAGAGTTAATATTAATTTAATAATTTTTTTAAATTAAATAACTAATTAATATTAATTTTTTTAAAATAAATAGAGAATATATTAAAATTTTTAATTTTTAAAAAAGTTGGGTTAATCCAATCCAATTTGAAACATGTGTAGGGAGGTTATGAATATTATTTTTAACTCAAAATCTAAAAATAACCAAATTCAATAAATTCAAGCCAATGAATTAAATAATTTAGTAATTATCTCTTTTCACTATATTATAAGTAAGAGGTCTTGAGTTTAAATCACATAGCATGTGAGTGGGGTGGGATAAGAAATGAGAGATGATTATCTAATATTGTGTAATTAAGATAAAAAAAAAATTCAAAATCTAAAATGATCTAATTAGAACCTATTTTAAAAACTAGATCCATTATAGAATCGATTTACTCATCAGTTCTGGATTTGGTCAATCCAATCGGTTCAATCGATCAACCGACGAGTCGACCGATCAACCGACCGAGTCAAAGCAAAAGTGCCAGAAACTACACTTCTGACTTTGCTGGCAGAATCCTGCAATTGTTTTTATCATTTTTCCTTGCAATTTGTAACAACTACAAGTTTAAAAACTCAATAAATAGATAACAAACTTTGAAAAACAAAGAAAATTTATAAAAAATTGCTGAAAATTTTGCAACAAATTGAAAACCAAGTCCTGAAGCAAATTGCGAAGCAACAAATTGAAAATTCTATAATAAATTGAAAATTCTGCAACAAATTTACAACGAATTTGCTGAAAATCTACAACAAATTGAAAATTCTGCAACAAATTAAGATTCCAGGAGCATTACCCAACTAGAAAATCTACAATAAATTGAAAATTTTGCAACAAATTGAGATTCTAGAGGCATTACCCAACTAGAAAATATGAGGATTTTTGAAAATTATGCAACAAATTGCTGAGAAATTGAAAACCAATGAGCTTACCAGCAGATAGAAGAAACAGAGGCGTGATTAACTATAGAGGAGTAAGGAAAATAGTATTTTGCGACAGCACCCCTCGGATGGCCGGTGAAGGTTGATGGCGGTGGGTGAAGATTGCTGGGTGAAGGTCGATGGCGGTGGGTGAAGACTACTGGTTGAAGGTCAGTGAACGAAGGCACAGTGGAGGAGGAAGGGAAATTCTTTCCAGAAAAGATCTGCTGCTACCTGCTGGACATCGATCTACTACTACCGGATGTCGATTTGCTGCTTGATGTGGAGAGATGATGAACGCTGATCTGCTGGCCAATCTACTCCCTATGGTTTCTTCTTCGCCGGACTAGAGAGTGGAGAAGGAGAACAGAGAACCGAGGGATGATGAAGACTGGAGAATGGATTTTTCGATTTTGTTTTGTGGTGAGATTTGAGAGTTGAAAAAGTTGAGACTTTGAGTTGGGATTGAGAATGAGTTTTGGAGTGAGGCCGACAATGGGGAAAAAGAAAAGTTGCATTGCAAGAGGGAGCGTCAGCATGTTGCAATTCGCCTGGCAAGTTTACTGGGTTTGCTGGGTTGGACGGGTCACGCGAATTTTTTGGGTTTGCTTGTTGGATCGCCAAAACGGGCTTGGGCGTCCACCCAGCCCGTTTCTCCCACCGGGTCTCGGTTGGACTTGTCGAACTGACCGCTCCGACCCAAATTTCAAAACACTATTTGATATGACCTCACCTGTTTGTCAAGTGCACTCGAGATAATATTATATTCCTTTGTGTTTGTTTTTCTTCTCATCCACATGGATGGCTTTCGATGAGGGACACGTCAAGGCCCTGGGCCGAGTTATGATTTATTCTAGACTTTGGTAGGCGGTGAGCCTTTGGTCTGAGTATACCCATTATTTATAAGTATTTTATTTATTTAAATAAGTACTGTATATAAAATGTAAAAAAATTAGTTAAGTAATATATATAAAATCAATATACTTGTAAGTATCGAGTTAAGTAACAAATATAAGTTTCAAAATTATTTATCTGACTTGTTTAACTCATATATTACTTGTATTTGTATAATTAAAATTTTATATGTATTTAATATACTTAATATTTATTTAATAACAATAATTTTTTTTTAAAAAATACATTAGGGCTTGTAACCTAAAGAGATCACATACGTAACAATAACAATTTGTATAAATAATAAACTTTAACCCAAACACATGCTCTATGTAATAATAATAAACTCATATAAGGCCTCTTCTTTTTCTAAGCTTAATACACAAATATATATCCACAAGTTTCCTGATACTTGTTGGGTTAGATATTAAATATAAGTCTTTGAGTATTTGGATAAATACTGAGTCTAAAAAACCATAGCTGTAATTTTCAAATCAAATACTAAATATACTTAATCTATATCCAAAAATACTCACCTCTACTAATTGGCATTCTAGTGGGCCTAGACGTTTTTATATCGAGGGCTGTCAGTCACAGTCACAGGTAACTGGAATGAACCCAGCAAAATTTTTAGGCCCAGCTCTGATCAGGGGTGGGGATCTATGAGCGGGCACTGGATATTTTGGGTCAGGCAGTTGCCTGTGTTGCATTTGCTCTGTACACGAATAAACTTCTAGGACTATCCTTATTGTTGGGGGAAATTTAGGAAGAAAGCTCGTTACTTTTTTTAATAATACTACATTCCAGCGGTGGGACATTGTAGATGTGGTTGCATGAGAAGGCTATCTAATGATTTGTAAGGCTTTTTTTTCTTCTTCCCATTTTTTTTTTTTTTCTTACATAAAGGACCTTAGGCATACTCTTAAATTTAATACTAGCATATAGAGATATGCCTTAGACGAATAAGTCAATCAAGTACTCTGACTCTCTTAGAGTTGTGCGCGCACATGTATGTATATATATATATATATATATATATTTGTAACTCTTTCTCTTTGTTTTCTGAATTCAACTGTTTGATTTCCCTTATCGTTGAATGAGATTGTTGGAAAACAGAAAAGAAGAATAATTTGAAAAAAGGTTTATTACTTTCTTGAATCATACTGTATCTACAATGACCTATATATAGGTGTTTACAAAGAGAATATTATAAGATATAAAGTATATAAAGAGAATATTTTAAGGTATAAAATATACAAAGAGAATATTCTAAAGTATAAAATATTTACAATAATTCTAAACATAATTGTGTTCACATCTTAATATTCCCCCTCAAACTCAAGGTGGTTGTGATGAAACCAACTTGAGTTTGGAAAGAATAGTACGAAAGCGTCCAGGAAAATGAGCCTTGGTAAAGAGATCTGCCAGTTGATCAACGGAACCAATGAACACCAAATGAACAGTTCTTTGTGCAACATGATGGCGAATAAAGTGACAATCAACCTCAATGTGTTTAGTGCGTTCATGAAAGATATCATTATGAGCAATCTGCATAGCACTTTGATTATCACAATATAAATTAGTAGAAGAAGGTTGAGGAATGCCCATATCTTCAAGAAGCCATCGCAATGAAAGAAGTTCTAATGTGGTATCCCTGAGAGCTCTATACTTAGCTTCAGTACTAGAGCGAGATAGAATAGTTTGTTTCTTACTCCGCCAATAGATAAGAAAATTACCAAGGAAAAGATAGTAACTAGTGGTAGATCTACGATCAGAAGGATCACCAGCCCAATCAACATCAGAGTAAGCGCGAAGCACAAGGGAGGAGTTGGCAGAAAAATGGAGTCCATGAAATAATGTTCCCTTAACATAACGAATAATGCGAAGCATTGCTGCATAATGAGTGGAGTGAGGAGCATCCATAAACTGACTAACAATGTGAACTGCATATGCTATATCAGGGCGTGTCGTAGTAAGATAAACCAAACTACCAACCAATTGCCGATAGCGAGTAGGATTAGAAAGTGGAGAGCCATCCATAGGTGTAAGCTTGAAATTAGGTTCAAGAGGTGTAGAAACACTCTTACCATCATTGAGTTCAGCTTTAGAAACAAGATCGGAGGCATACTTTACTTGAAAAAGTAGGTAGCCATCATCTGAAGAGGTCACTTCAAGCCCCAAAAAATAGCTCAAAACACCAAGATCTTTCATCTCAAATTTCTGACTAAGAGATTGTTTTAACTGCTCAACACCTGCAACATCATCTCCAATAATAATCATGTCATCAACATAAAGAAGTAAAAGGACCATACCCCGAGTAGTCTTATGATTGAACAAAGCTGTATCATGTGGATTGGAAGTAAAACCAAACTCACTCACAGTAACACTAAACTTTGCATACCAGGCTCGAGGGGATTGCTTCAACTCGTATAATGCACGATGCAATTGGCATACCTTGTTTGGAGGATGGTTGAGCCCAAGAGGTGGTTTCATATAAACTTCTTCTTTTAGGTCACCATTAAGAAAAGCATTTTTCACATCCATCTGAAACAATTTCCATCTCCGCATGGTAGCGATAGCAAGCAAACTGTGCACAGATGTAAGACGAGAAACTGGAGCAAATGTCTCCTCATAGTCGATTCCATACTCCAGTGTAAAACCCTTGGCAACCAAGCACGCCTTATAATGCTCCACAGAACCATCAGGTCGTGTTTTGACCTTGTACACCCATTTATAGCCTATTAGAGATTTTTCAGCAGGGAGATAAACTAAATCCCATGTACGAGTGTTCTCAAGAGCAAGTAATTCATCTTGCATAACTTGTTGCCAAAGAGGGTTAGAAGAGGCCTCTTGATAGGATTGGGGCTCATGTAATGAAGTAATAACAGGAAAACAATGATAATCACGAAGGTAGTTGGGAGGGTTTCTTACCGAGTAGGATGACTCGAGGATGGGACAATAAGCTCATTTATAGAATCAACAGGTGATACAAACGAGGAAGTAGAAGAAGGCTCAAAATTATCTAATGCATTACCAACAGGCAGATCATCTTTTACAGAACTAGTTGGAGCATGTGGTGAGGCATTGTAGAGTTCATTAGATGTACCTGCATTAGAATTACTAGGAAATAGCTCAATAGAAGGATTAGTAAAAAATGGAGGTTGATGAGAGGATGACACTTTGAAGTTTGACAATGATGAGAACATAGTGTGTTCCCAAAAGACAACATGACATGAAACTCGGAGTTTTTGTGACATAAGATCCCAACAATGATATCCTTTTTGAGTAATCCCATAACCCAAAAAACAACATAATTGAGCTCTAGGTTCTAACTTGTTATGTTTATGAGGTGGAAGAAGAACAAAACATGCACAACCAAAAACCTTAAGAAGATTATAAGCAGGAAGAATACCATGTAGACGCTCGTATAGAGACTGGTTATTAAGGATTGATGATGGAATGTGATTAATAAGATAAACAGTTGTAAGAGCAGCTTCACCCCAAAATCGCTTTGGACAACAAGATGAAATGAACAGAGCACAAATAGAATCAAGGATGTGTTTGTGTTTGCATTCGGCTTGCCCATTTTGTTCAGAAGTATAAGGACAAGATTGTTGTGGCAGTGTACCTTGTTTTTTCAAAAAGGATTGAAGTTTAGTACCAAGATATTCAGTAGCATTGTCAATTCTCAAAACTTTGATAATTTTAAAGAACTGAGTTTTGACCATGGTAGCAAAATCAATATAAATTTGTGATAATTCAAAGCGACTTTTCATAAGGTATATCTAGGTAAAATGAGTATGATCATCAATAAATAACACAAAGTACTTAGAACCCCCCATGGTGGGTGTAGGTGATGGACCCCAAACATCAGAATGCATGAGATCAAAAAGAGCAATAGAATGAGAATGACTATTCGAAAAAGGTAAAGCTAGTTACTTTGCAGATTGACATGACACACAATGCACAGATTCATTCGGAACTGATCCTAATAAACCATGAGAGATAAGTGGATGAAGTTTATCAATTGAGATATGTTCGAGTCGTGAGTGCCACAAATGGCGAGGAGAAATGTTAGTAGCAACACAAGCTTGGAAGATTTGTTAATATGGAATTTTCAAAGACTCTAATTTAATAGCACAAAGCAGGGTTTGGATGAATCAATCATTTGAAAATGATGGTGTATCCATTTTATTATCAGGAATATGCAGATAGTTGAGCTCAAACAAACGCCCCAACTTGCGACCAGTTCCAAGAAGTTGTCCTGTCCGTGGGTCTTGCACACGACAACCATGAGTAGAAAATATTACTTCAAGACCGAGATCACATAATTGACTGACAGATAGAAGATTATAACTAAGTTTTGGAACTAAAAAGGCATTTGGTAAAGTCAATGACTTTGTAGAAACATTGCCACTGTGACTAACATTCATAGAGGAACCATCAGCAGAATAAATATCAGGAAAGGAATTATTAGTTGACATTGAAGAGAAATGAGCAGTAATCGAAGACATATGGTTACAACAACCAGAATCGAAATACAAAGGTTTGGTACCCAGAGCAGTAGATAAGGCAGTAGGAGGATTAAAAAGATTTAATATCATCTATTTTAGGGATTCAAGGTTGACATTAGGTTGTTCTATCACTTCTTTGGCAACCATAGCAGTAGCAGGATGAGTTACAATCCTTTCAAAACTCGTCATAGAATCAGTAAACTCACAATACTAGAAAACTCTAAAAATATGAAGAAATAGATACCAAGATCGAAATAACAAACCAACAAAATACCTCAGAAATGGCCTGAGAATCGAGGATAAACAATCCAATCTATAGGAGAAGGGATCCCAATGACAAAGTTTTAGATCTGGAATGAAATTGAAAATCCAACTCCAAAAAACCCAACAACGATAATAAGAGAAAAGAACCAAGAGCTTATAGCTTTGATAACATGTTGGAAAACAGAAAAGAAGAATAATTTGAAGAAAGGTTTATTACTTTTTTGAATCATACTATATGTACAATGACCTATATATAGGTGTTTAGAAAGAGAAGATTCTAAGGTATAAAATATACAAAGAGAATATTCTAAAGTATAAAAAGCGAATATTTTAAAGTATAAAATAGTTACAATAATTCTAAACATAATTGTGTTCACATCTTAACAGAGACATGCCTCAAGTGACTTTCGTCTAGCATTATATCATCACTCAAGTCCTCTAGTAGCCTAGTACTGATTTTGCAGCATACTGCTAGTCCGCTAGAGACCAGAGACCTGAGTGACGGAGCCCAAGGTGGATGCAGAGGAGCCGGTGGAGGTGGATGTGGCCTCTTGCACCTTTATATCTGATTCGAACAAGATGGGCTTGGAGGTTGGCCGGCGATTAAGGGTTCCTTCGCTTCTCAGCAAAATGACTACCTCAGACATGGTTGGTCTGGAGGGAGCAGATGCCTGAGTACACAACAAAGCAACTTCAATCACTTTCCTGACATCTTCTGCATCGTATTCACTCCTGTCTAATGTCTCATCAACCAGTTCTTCATGTCTGTTATTCTCGTACAAACTCCAGGCCTGTAAATTAAGGGAAAAACTAATTAACAATTCAATTTTAGACATCCATGAAAAAGTCTAAAGGATTTGAATTAAAGAATGGAAGGTTCACCCGTTGAAGGAGGAATTTATCATCAGAGTTAGATTTGGTGTCGCTGCTCTTCTGGCTACTAATGATTTCAAGAACAAGGACGCCATAGCTGTAAGCATCCACCTTCTCAGATAATTGTCCGTGAATTGCATATTCCGGAGCTGTATATCCCCTGAAAAATAACTCGGAAAACAAAAAACAAATAAGTTGTTACATTGCTGAATGCCTCCAATCATAGTATTAGACTTTGATTGGAAACTGAAACTCACATTGTTCCTGCAAATTTGGAACTGAGATGAGTCCGATCTTGAGGAAGAAGCCTTGCCAAACCAAAGTCTGCAATTTTAGGCTGGAAATCATGATCCAGAAGAATATTGCTAGGCTTTATGTCGCGATGAATAATGCGGAGGTAGAATTCTTCGTGAAGATAGGCGAGGCCCTTCGCTACACCGAGGATTATATCACATCGTTGCTTCCAGTTGAGTGATCCTTTCTTTTCACCTGTTTAATTTCCATTTAACAAAAGAAATTAGAAGAGAAATGAGAATGAGACGACGAGGAAGAGAGATTAAAGGTCAATACCGAACAAAAATTTGTCAAGGCTGCTATTGGGCATGAATTCGTAGACGAGAAGAAATTCGGCACCTTTGCCGCAACAGCCGAGAAGGCGGAGGAGATTCCGGTGACGAACATTGCTAATGATCCTCACTTCGCTTTCGAAATCTGCTTTTGCTCTGAGAGATTGGACGATTGCTAGCTTTTTCACTGCCACCACTTTTCCGTTCTTGA